TGTAGGAGCGTATATTTAGAGGCAAAAACCTTAGTGCGGGTATTACTGTCTCATGACAGCATCTAGTTTTATGTCTATTCAGCATATGGGCGAGGCTATCTTTAAAAGTTATGTGTACCTTTTCTTTATTCTTATAGAATCTTTGATTATTTTACACTCGATGATATGTTTGGGATACCTCAAACATTATATATAACCTGAATATATCAACAGCCAATCACTACCTCTTGACAGTATCGCACAAAACAGAAGAACAATTTAAGAACAAGACACGTCTCTAAAAGCATACCAGTCATGTCAGTAATGTAGTCCATTGGAAAAAATTATTTTGTAATGTTAAGCATGTTATCTCCAAAAAATATATGTATTAATTTTAGCCAGTAGAATGTAGCCTATTTTTATCTTCTTTTGTTTCCTGACGTCACGGCGTCAGGCTGTATAAGGATTGATATTTCCAAGGTGCGAAGAGAAGGGTCACAGCTAGCCAGCAAAATTTTGTGCATGCTGATTATCACTGGAATTTGTTACCTCCGTTTCAACAAAACATTTAGCAGAAAAAAATAACCGTCTTACTGATACAATATATTGATGTGTTTATTTCCTTTTGTTTTTTTGCATGCAGCTGTATATTTCATGCGATTTCATATACGGACATGTCCGTTTGACATTTTTTCTGCGTTTCTGTACTATTGGATGAGTCCATTTGTCTTTTAGGTAAGGGGTGTCACAATCATATTGCGCCAAATGTCACGTGTACATCTTCGCGCCCTTTTCCTGGATGATTCTACTGCACTGAATGGAAATGATAACTTCAAGTCTTTTCTTTTTATCGGAATTTCGAACTTTGGGGAAAAACATATCGGTGATATTGTGAAAGAAGTTAGAAGTTACTTCATTTAAGGTAAATAAAACGAAACGGAAAAAGAGTTCTTAAGAGGAAACTGGCCAAACATACATACTATTTCCGATCATATCTCGCCCGGACTCACTCCCCCCCCCCCCCCCCCCCCCCCCCCCCCCCGCCAGTTTTCAGAGATAAAATTCTTTCTCCTATGAAGCACAGAAAATAGACTTCCTAAAGCAAAAGTGTCCCTCCTATTCCAGGACTGAGGAATATAAGGAATCGCCGTCAAGTTCGTTGGGTCATTTATGCATAACGGGCTGTTTCCAACAATCGTTCAATTCATACTCTGGCATACCCAACAATCTAGTACTTAAACATATTCTGCTTGTTAATAATAACGATTCATTTATTTCTTGTAGTTATCATATTCTCAGCTGTCTTCCTGGTAGTCTATGCAGTTGAATCTAATTCTAAATTTTAATTTTAAAAATAATATTCATTAGTTCATTTCCTTATTTAATTACTACATCTTCTAAAACCATTTATAGAGTTGCGGAATGAGGAGCTGAGCTTTACTTTGCGTGTTCGAATCCACTGCAGGACGTGGAGATCGGTCTTAAGATGAGACCGTTTAGAACCGAAGTTCCGAGTCGCAGTAGGTGTGAGCACGAAAAAGATTACATGAAACTGCTCATTGGTCCTGAGTTCCAAGTATTTGTAACACTCCACAGGCGTCCTTATACACCAAACGAAAAACAGATCAAAACCAATTTTTAACACATACAAAATATACCTTTTAAATAAAATCTCACTGTTCCTTTTCCATCAGACACGTAGCAACGGGGAGGGGGGGGGCTGTCTCCCCCTTTTTTCCCAACCTTACTTTTACTATATATAGAAAATGTTAATTGAAAGGTTGGATCCCCCTGTATATAACAGGAAATTTATTAAAGGGAAATGCAGTATTTAATGCTAAAAAAATTGGCACAGAATATACTTGACTCTGAAAAAAAGTTGGTCACTACCCCCTCCACCCCCCATCCCCCTAAATAGGATTTCAACTTTGGGCATATTCCTTTTTTTTCAGATGAGTGAAAAAAAAATTCTCTAGCTGCCCCCCCCCCCCCCCATTCAAAAACGAGGCTTTCCATTGCTTTCATAAGTAGCAAAAAACTTAAAATTAATGCATGATGTTTTGTTCGACATCTTCATAATTTACTCTAATGGAATGATTACCCCTCACCCCAATGTAAACGTTTATATATATAACTTATCATGATTATAGGTTCCATAGATATTGATTGCATTAGTCAGGCAAGTTTTTTTGAAAAGCTATTACTTGTTGTTATCTACAGATGGTTTTTACCAGTCGAGTGCAGTCTATTTTTATCTTTTTAAGTTGTTATCTACATTTGCCTTACTCATGACGAAGTCGACAAAGACTAGACCCTCCATGCAATTCTTCATAATCACAGTAAGTGTAACCTTTTCAGTATACAACAAAGGTAAATGTTATAACATTCATTATATAGAAACTCGATAAAAGTGTAAACTTACATACAATCTTTAAAGAACATTTTACATTCGTTTTAAAATATAGTCAACATAAGGTACATGTAAATCATACCATTATTTACAAAGCATTAACTTCGTATATTACATTTCTCTTCGGATTCGATTTGATTTTCATGTAGTGTCTACCATTATTTCTTTCGAATACAATCTGCAAAATGAAATCCATAATCAACAAACACTTCAGAACTTAATTTTTTCTGGGTCATATTTATATTAGTCAGTTATAATTAACAAACTATCGTTTTGATCCGTGCGTTGTTATTTATTTCACATGAAGATATTTAGATAATTACATGTATCTCATAATTAAAGTGCATCAAAAATCAAACTCCAGTTTACACGAGTATGTTTCAAGTTTTGCACTCTTATCGTTCTTTGCCACACAGATGTGGTGCCCGTTGCTGACAGTCTAAACAGTCTAAGAGACCTACACGCAAAATAGAAAGAGACACTGTGTTTACTTCATTGTCCTAAATAGGAAAAAAGACCAAATTAGCGGAAGTTTACTTCTTTTCCAACAAGATAGAGCAGAATATTAAATTGGTAAGCTTTATCTGATTGGCTGAATTCAGGTACATGCGCAAAACTAAAGGGGGTTGGGGGATCGGGTGGGGATTGGGGTGGTATCCGGACCCCTTTCCCTGGAATTTGCAAGGTTATCAATTCATATGTTATAGCAGGTAAAAACTTACCTTGGATCCCCTATGGAAAATGCAGAGCCCCTGGAAAACACGGATTAGTATAAAATTTATTTTGCTTGTTAAGAATTTTCTGGGTTGGAAATATTTGGACTGGGGTAGACCCCCCCCACACACACACACAAACACACACACAAACACACACACAAACACACAACTGGAAAAAAATCATGGATCCGCGCCGGAGGCATGTAAATATTTACATTTTAAAGTAAAAAATATTAATATTTGAAATAAATGATAGAATGAAGGAATATTACTGAAAATAAAGAGATAGCAGGGGAGATTGTCGGATTAGGGATTGATATTTTTTACTCATTCACTGCCAGTCGCTGTAAGTTCTAAATGATGCAAATTTAACCTATAAATGCCGCGGCACGATATATTTTTTTCCGTGATTTAATAATTGCGTGGAAAGAACTTCCAAATGATAGATGATTAGAGATTTGTTTGAAAGGGAATTAGTAAATTAGTAGGAGGGTAAAAAGTTTTTATGGAGTTCTATGGGAAATTAATTGGTACTCTTTTCCCACATATACGTAGTAAAGTGTTTCTACCATGTAAATATTTATGGATAGGAAAGTAAGCCGTTGACATTAAAACCGGAGAAATATTTTTTTTTATTTATTCTTTGATAACATTTAATTAAAGCCTAGCTGTCGTAAAAAAATCAATGCGTCGTGTTATCTATCATTTGATATATTTTATGTGCTCTCTGCATTCTTTTTATACACCATGTACTTGATATCGTAGTTGATATCGTTCTTTATAATTGGAATTTACACAAGCCCTTTGCTAGAGCTGGAGGCATTGTTACCTTGCTGATAGCTAGCGGGAAAAAGTTCTGCATTCTTAAACTTTTAAGAACGCAAAAAATCACACATTGTATTAGAAACAAAGAAAGAGAGAGAGGAAATTTTAACTTGAAAAAGGGGGAATGTTGTAAGGATTTCATCAATAAAAAGCGACGATTAATCAAAAAATTATCCTTTGTTGATACGTAAAGTTATGGAAGTTGTTCTTGAAATAATACTACCTGATGGATATGAATTGAAGAATAATTACGACCTATGCACTAAACATGAAAAGTATACTTTATTTTTGAGTCGTAAAATATTCTATTGTCTATATCAGCTTGTATGCATTTTTTGAAATTCTTTAGAATTTCTCCAAAATCACATGACTTTGATACAGATAAAAAGCAACACACAATCTTTCTTGTATTTTTTTTTACATACGCACTGATATTACCTTATACCTTTATGTTCACATTTGCAAATATCTTTCTCAGATGAACCTATTGAAGGGAAAATATGTTCAATTCCATATGAACTTTATTTTGGGGTCAGGGCGACCGAATCACAGAGGGAAGTAATATTTTGTCTATATACATCTGTCAGGGTGCAATTTGTTTTGGAATATTTCTAGTTAATAAGTAAATAATGATAAAAAAAAAAGAATATGATAAACAAATGGATTTTTTCAAATTACGAATTCAACAATAAATTTTCTTTCGATGTGAATAAGATTTTGAATACTATAATAAGCTTAAAACCGCACTCACATTTTTAACCCTAAATTCCTTTGGAGTTTTGCAAACTAAAATGGACGATAGCACCGGTTTATGACTTCAAATATTTCAAAAACGTATGGAATAGTAAGATTATTCACAGCAGTGATCATTGTTCTTGTACATATATTTCTTGAAGTAGACCGCTTAACATTAATGTTAACATTAAAATGTTGGAGCAAGCTGACCTTTATTTTCTTCATACATATTGCGTCTCCATATAAGTGAAAAATTCTCGAGATGGACAACATACAATCAATCAATTAATCTTCATACCCATCGATCCGTGTCTATCTTCAAATTTAATACTTTCAGCCCTTTTCAGTTTCCTTTGAAATGTGTATCAACTAGACATCCTCATCAGACGTCATGGCAGAGAAAAGGCTTCCTGATTTTGTTGGTCCTGGTCTTTCTGTGAGTATAATTAACTGAACGTAATGACACGGATTCCTTTTGTCTTGTGTATGATTTCAATCTGTTTTGTTTTATTTCTTTGCCATCGTCATAAAACAAGGGTTATAAACAGCAATTCCATCAAGATTTTCATAGTAAAGAACTGATCATTGAAATAATTGTTGTAAACAGCTTTAAAACGTTCCGATGGATTCACCTGGCAAGATTGATTGTGCCACAGAGAGCTTTGCCACAAAATTATCCCCACTATTTGTTGCCTTTTTTATGCTATAGTACCGATTAATATTTTAGCATTCTGTGTTATTTCACGAATTAACAGTTATCCAGTAATTCTGAATAACTACTGCCACCCTAATCCCTATACACAAACACTAAAACTTATATGTATAGAGCAGCCCGGTCCTTCGGGCTGAATTAATCTTTCCAACTAAAAAAACTTAATAAGTAAAGGTTTTTTTTTTAGTATCAGTATCCAAGTAACGTCTGTCCTGTAAGTTTTCAATATGGCATCATTCCAATGACCCTAACGAGTGATATGATTTGCTTATTTAGTTAAATGGGCCTAATACGTACGAAATTTTTTATCATTATTTTCATTTTGTGTGCAAAATAAAAACATCTTACCTAGATGCTACTTCCTGTCTTTAAGGTATCACACCGGTAATTGTTTTCACTATATGATTCTATATAGAATGAAAAATCGTAGAAATATCAGGTATTTCTTTACATGAAAAAATATGTAGCAGGAGGTGTTAAACATTACGTGTCACATTAGCCGACACTAAAAAACAGGGCGCCTTCACAGCAATTTCTGTTTCCATCTGCAAAAAGAGCTACATGTACCCCCAAAGCCACGTGTTTTTAATTTGTTGATAAAAACCCTGAGTGCACCACAGGAAGTAGCCCCTTATGTCTTGAAAAAAAAGATTTTTGTCAAAAACTTTATCTGTTCACAAAGTACATAAAATTTCCGAAGCACAGGTACCAAGGTTGTAAAAATAGCTTGAAAGAAAATAGAAATATGTCACAAAATAGAAAAGGAAATCAATTTTATATGTGCGAGAATAAATAATGTCATTGAGGCTCGGAAAGAAACAAAAAACGCTTTTCTATGACTTAGTCCTAATGATTTAACTAAAATATTTTCTTTCAATTAAATCGCATATCTGTAACATTTTCATTCAATTTCTAATAATTGTTTGTCGAACACACTTTTGAGTATGACCCTTATGACCCTTCGTATACTGGAATATGACAGATCCTTTGATTTGCTGTACTTGTTTTTTTTTTTTTGATAGATGTTTTTCTTAGTTTAGGGAATTAAACAAGTCAATAGTTGAAAGATATGGCAAATTTTGTTGGTGTGACAAAAAATTAACTTCCTTTTCATCCCCAAAACTCCTTTACTTTTCATGGGCTGTGGGTTTGGACGCCGTCATGAAGACATTTAATGTCGTGAATTCCTCATTCTTTTTGCTCCCTCTTATACACCTTTCAATTTTTTTGACAAAAAATGGTTTCTAGATTCCTCCAGAAATTTAACTTCCTCCCCGAATATGAATTTGAACAATAGGACCGCTCATATTTAAGAAAATAGCAATATAAACCTGTTGTATGCACTTGCAATTCTTTGTTCTTCTTAAGCCTTTGTAGTTTTGTCAAGTGCATCTTATTGTAAATTTGTTTTGATGATTGAAGGTGTGTCCACCATCAGAAATTTTAATGGTTCAAAGTACAAAAACTGCATTTTTATATTCATTTAATATACTTTAAATTTTCCAATTATTGTAAAAAAAAATGTATAGGTCACCATATTATTTAAGATGCCAAACATAAATAAACTGAAGTGTATGTCGACATAAAAAATCACACATTTTTTGTAAACAGTATTATGGAAAAATATGTAAAAACTGGTTAAAATGCATAATTCTGATGCTGAATGTTCCAAAATACTTCCTACATTAAAATACTTTCGAATTGTGAATATCGGGGAAACTATTTTACATTAGAAGTACAATAAAGGAAATGTTTGAATGATAAGGCCTTAGAAGCAGTTATTGCCCTTGTAAAAAAATCTTAAGGATTGAATAATTGATTTAATATAGAAAATATTCATTTTTTAAATTCTTTTATTAAACAATATTTATCATTACAACTATTGTAAAGCATTCCACTAAAAATACTGTTCTATTAGGTATGATAAAATAAAATCACATACTTTGTCAAGATATGCCTTTTAGAAATGAAAAAAACGTCTTTGATAAGGATTTAAGAGTCATTCTCTGTAAGGACCACAGATGCCGTTCAAATGAATACCACAGATTTTAATAAAACATATATGAAAAAATTATGAATGTGTATGAGATTTATTAGGTATATTTAAAATTTTGGGATGTGACCTATCCTCCAGGTTATGGCCCCCTAACACATTTTGTGGCTACCCTCATGTTTGAAAAGGTCAGTTTTCTCCTAATTTGACAAAAAAAAAATCAAAATAAATAATGCACTATGGTTGGAATAAGTGCATTAAATTGTGAAAACAAGGTGTGAAGTAAAGTTAAAAAAATTATTTTGCTTTATCATTAACACCCCTTTTTATTTTAAAGAAATTTAATTTCCTCCCATTTTTAACCCTTAACCAATATGCTAAATAACCATAATTTCAGTGCCATTTTATGAAAAATTCCAAGATAGGATTATAAAATATTAACAATATTTTGATAGCAAACATACTTGATTATTTATTCATAATTATTCTGGGTGTGTGTTTTTTGATTTAAAAAAATAAAACGTATTTGAAAATTGAAAAAAACTAGCATTTCACAAAAATATTATCTCCCTTTGTAGAACTCTCTAGTTCCGACAGTGAAAGGAGGTAAAAACAAAAGTATTTGTAAGCATGACGTTTTGCTGGTTTGGAGTTACTTTTTACAAGCCATGTGTTTTATTGATATTTTTATAAAAAAAAAAAACTTCTTGGATTATACAGTATAGCTTCCTTGGCAGATGTGATATTGTTTGTTCTGAAGACATTCAACAACTCGCGAGTTTCAGCAATGGCCATATTGTCTAAAGTAGGTCGTATGCCATGTGTTACACTTGCTAAATTATTTAGTAAATACAGTGAATGACTATGGAATGTGGACGTTATTTTAACTTTTCTTCAAAATAAAATACAAAGAGGTGAAGAAGGAAGTTTTGTCAAATTCCAAATCTTCTAAGTCCCCACCTACATATTGAAAACACCAGAGGAGATGGACCGAGAATTCCCCTCCAAACAGAACATGTGAAAATTTGAAAGCAGGTCATATGATTGGTCAAGCTGGTGTAACACTACCAGTGTTATAGGCCTACACCATGCATGTACACGTAAGTAACTACAATTTCTGATACACAATATTATAATATTTGTTCGTAGAGTTATGAGTAGATGAAATTATTGAAAAAGAATTAAATCGAAACGAATGTAAAAAGGTACAGTCCAAATACTATACTAAAGCAATTCTATCTACATATGTAGGTCTTAGAAGTGGGTAAAATAGCTACTTTGGGTACCTTTAACCTACATACATTGTAGCTATTAATAGCTATGTGGGTAGAATAAGAAATAATCTTTGGACTTGACCTTGTAAATTTCATTTTCCTTGTTCATCTTGAACACTCTATAATGATGTATACATTTAAAGTTTAACAAGATATTAATTAAAAAGTTTCTCTAATTTGAATTATTGTAAACAGTTATATATTTTAGACCTGTCAACATACAAAACTAAATAAAAAGTACTGTTAAATATGTGGTGAATGGCAAAAAAAAATTAACAACTCATTCTTATATAATTTTCTTTAATTAGTACCTGTAAGGAATTGAATTATTTTTATGAAAATATACAATTTATTGTAGCATGCTGCTGTGTGACCAAGTGAGGGGCATCACAAGGAAGGGGAAGATATTTAGATCATTCATGGAGCCTTCAACATTGTATTAAAACCAAATTATAAAGAGGTATAGTGTCCATGTACTATAATTTTGACCCAATGACCTTGACTTCTTTATATCTTTCAAGAAATTAGACATTGGTAATAAATTTTGAAGGATAGAGGATACAGCTTTCATGTTCCATATATACAGTAACTACTATTATTGACCCACTTTTCAAGGCATGTAACGTTCTGTGATGTTCCAATTTCTACCCATCTGAAATCATCCTAATTATTCTATACAAATATTTTTCACTTCAAATTCCATTTTTGTGCAACTTTGAATAAGAAATTAAAAAAAAAAACTACACTGTAAAACTTATTCATTTTATTCATTAAAACATGACCCAAGTTGTTATTTTCAAAAATTTTGACAAGAGTTTGTACCACTTTCCTAAAGAAACCTCTCTACACTGAACACTAAAGAGTTACGATTCTGTTCTATTTATCTGCCCTTAGATTTAAATGCCAATAAATATACATTTACACTATATTACTCAGTTTATAATCAAATCAAGTATTCTTAACATTTTAAAAGGGCAAGATACTAGATAGTTTAAATTCTAAATTATAAACATGTTGTTTACATGTATCTTCTCCATAGAAGTAAATAGCAATTATTTTCACTGATACTGTGTTGTGTTTGAACATTTTTTTCCTGGGGTTAAATGCCATGTATCATGTATTGAAAATGAAATAGAGAAGCTTATTATTTACATCTTTATTCAATATAATTTTCGCAAAGTCCAAAAATCATTTTACACTGGTGTAGAGAGGATGTATGACCTATTACATGTACAAGTGTAACTGTTTTCATGATCCAATTGGTTCCTTTAATCATTTTTAGCTCTACTGGTCAAAGACCAGAAGAGCTTATGTGATAGTAATGTGTCCGTCGTCTGTTTGTCTGTCTGTATGTCTGTCCGTCTGTAAACAGTTTTTCAAAATGCTACTCCTCCTACAGTTTTGGTCTGATTTCAATATAACTTGGCACACAAGTAAACTACACTAAGATAAATAATTCTGTGTATCGGTTTTTGTCATTATTCTATTGATTGCTTTTGTAAATGTCCCAACTGCTAGTTTTCTCTTTCTTTATTATAAGTACAAACAAGTAGAGCTACAGTCTTGACAGAGATTTCTGGTTAACTTAAGTCTTGTATTATCTACCTGGTAAATCTAAATACTTGTATTGTCTATTACAGAACTCAAGAAGCCAGAGTTTTACATTTAGTCATGACCAGTCATGACATTCAGCAAATGAATGAGTATCTGATGAAAATTAGTGAGAGTTTTCAGAGAATAGGAGATACCGTTGGGACACCTTCACTAAGCCTGCTAAATTATACTACAACAATATAATGACAAACATTGCTGTTATTCTCCCAAAGAACATCAAAGAAATAGTGAAGTCTTACAGTATCTGGAGAAAATCCTAGTCTTGCCTAGTATTATACCTGAGGGAAGTTTTGACCACTTATCCTGAAGTTATTCATGCATAATAACATGGGTCCACTATGCACTACTATGAATATGCTTCAAATAATAAAAAAAAATTTTTAATAATGTAAATTCTTAAATAAAAGGTAAAAAGTGTCTAAACAGTAGTCTCATTGCATGTAAAATGATACTTCCATCCTTTGTTACAATTATTGAATTTTCATAAAATTGACAAAAAAATTAAAGAAATCTATGTCAAAAGTGTCTATTATTATTTTCAAGGCTTAAGGATAACGTTTACTTGGATGACAAAAATATTAACTGATAAAAGTGAAAAACCACCTATTGTACATCTATGTAATTATTCACTTAAGTATGTCATTGCCCTACTATTCCTGCTAATGGCTCTTGAGTATTTCATAGAAAATATATAAATTATTTTTCACAATATGACCAACATTTGCCCCCCCCCCAATATTTTGCCAATATATAGAATTCTATAAAAAACATAACTACTCTATGCTTGTGCCCCCTCAGAAAATACGTCTAATGATCTTTTGTCCTTATTTTGCTTTCTAGAAATTTTTGGTAGTTTTCACTGAGAATGTATGGTTGTGCCCCCCCCCCCTCTTCCAACTGAAATTGCCTCTTAAGGGCCTGCAATCAAGTTGAAAATCTGAATGACAGGAACTCTTATTACTTACATGTATGGCCTCATTTTACTTTTGTTGTCCTTATTCTGCTGGTATTATAATTTTATGAGCTCAATAATCAAATTATTTAGATATGTTGCTGTGAATGGTTTGTGTTCATGTATACGTACATATTTTTGAAATTTTTCATTGTGTATCAATCAATTATAAGTATATGAAATAATGTTTGAGCTTTAATATAAATTGATAATTGAAAAAGTTATTTAAAAAAAATTAATTAGCCCGAACTTTCTCTGCACACCATAATCTTTTATATTTTCTTTGAAAAAAATAATAATAAATAATAATCTTTTAATTTTCAGATTTATTTTCAGTTATCAATTGTTTGTTTAGTCCATTTAAACCATTTTGGATTAAACATGTTGTACTTTATAGCATTCTGTTTCTGTAATCAGAAATCCTGACTTAAGGTCATCCAGTCAATTCATGAAAATGTGGAGAAGCAATTATACTACATTTATATATTCTTCAGTTAACTTTGAACTCTTGACCTTAGCCTTACGTTGTGATAGAGTTAATAAATTAACTTTTCATCGACTCTTTTTTTCCAGCTAAATTTGTAACAAATACGTTTAATAGCTGACGAAGATAAAATTTGAGTCATAGAACAGGTGTCATTATCCCCAGCCTTTTCCTCATTAAAAAAAAGGGGGGGGTAAAATGAAATATCTGTGTATTACTTTTATATCTTCACTATACCTACATTTCATTTAAAGAATTGATTAGTAGCATGATTAATATACACTTCAGTATTGTTAAAAATTTAGCCACAAACGTGATTTTGAAAACATGAAATGAAAAAAAATCCCATGAGCCCTGTTAACCACTGCTATGTTGCTATACGCCCCTAAAATGATACATTTTCATTCATTTTTATCATTTAAAACTCTGTTAAGGTTGTTTTACATAAACAATGTCCTCAAAAGAGAAAAACAAACTCTACAAAATATATCATATACAATGTATAACGCAGTTTTCCAATCCATATCTGAGGAAATTCGGGATTATGGGTTATTTTCATTTTGATATTTCCCAAGTTATCTGAAAAACACATGTTGGGAATCTATATGAAATTAAAGAATATAGTATAGATATTTGGAATAAACAAGAAGTTTAAAAAACCTATCTTGGAATTTAAAGATAAATGTAATTGAAATAGAGGGTAAAATGGGTTTTTCTGCATTTTGCAAAAATCATGAAATTTGATATTTTTAGCCTTCTATCAGCTTGAAACGCCTCAGGCAAAAGATTTAATTCTTAATTATTTTAATTATATAAGAATGCATAAAATAAATTATATAATTGAAAGTGGTCATATTTTTCGTGTTTAAAGGAAATATGGGGGTTAAAAATGCTATATTTCATGAAATAGAACCTGTCAAAATGGCCATATTTGTGTTAGTTACGGTTGCCATGGCAACGGACACCCCGAAACATGAACTAAGGTGGTTTTCTCAGTTAGACACCTGAGTTCACTCTAAATACAAAAAATTACGTATTTCGGAGACATTCGTTTTTACGGTCTCCTTGGATTCTTTGGTTTTTACAGAGAATGACTCTTAAATGCTTTTTCATAATAATCTTTCAAGGTATCACCTCGGTAGTTGTTTTCACACTATTATTGTATATAAACTAAAAAATCTTAAAAGAATATTTAGTAGGAGGTGATAAACATTACCTGTCACATTAGAATACACGGCATTTTCTGGTTTTTCTCATCTGCAAACAGGGCTACCCTCAAATCCACGTGTTTTTAATTTGTTTATAAACACCTCGAGTGCACCAGAGGATGTAGCCTCCTTTGCCCTGAAAAAAATAGTTCCTGTCAAAAAACCTTCATTCATTAACAAAGTAGTAAAATATACTAGACACAGGTACATGTACCAACGTTGTAAAAATGGCTTTGCAAATAATAGAAAAACTTCTAAAAAAATCAATTTTATATGTACGGAATAACATTTGAATGTATTTCATTTTGGTTAGTCAATTACCGATGTGATCCCTTAAATCAGTTCTGAGAATTTCACAAGACGACTCTTTTGTTTTCATCGGGGGTTCGATATTGAACGCTCGTGTTCTGAATGCTTCAGGTATATTTGTAAACGTTATACAAGGTTAGCGTTCAATAAAACGTATAGATATTGCACGCTGAAAATCTCTTGATATTTGTTAGTATTTTATTAGAGGCTATTTATTAGCCATGTAATAATTTGAAAATATACAATCCCTAACAAATGAATACTACAGTTAACTAGAGTTAACAATAATTTGCCATAGTACATAAGTAAAAAAAAACTTTGAAACTTTGATTATTATTATAAAAACTTTGGAAATTTTATTTAAGATAATGAAAACTTTGGAACGCTAATTTACTATATATAATGAAAACTTTGAAACTTTGACTTACACTATTGATAATTACAAAACTTGATTTTAGTTACTATTAATAGTGAAAACTTTGGAACTTTGATTAACCATAGGGAACACTTTGGAACTTTGATTTACTGTAGTGAAATCTTTGAAACTTTGAATTACAGGTGACTCTCGATCTCTCGAAGTTCAAGGGACCTCAAGAAAAATTCGAGAGATCGAGGGGTTTGAGAGATGGAAAGTAAATAGAATCCGCAATTTTCAGTTCCGATCATCGAAGTTCTACTTTTATAGATACCGGAAGTATATATAATTATGTCATTGCACGTTTTCAATCGTATTTTACAGGTAATTTACTTGATATCAACAACAATGAATGTATTTCGAATAAATAAAACGAATTCCTCAAGATTCAATATTTATTTGTTCCTATTTCATGATTACATGAAACCAGAATAGCAATTGTAGGTTTGACTATTCCACGGCTTGATTGGGTCCTTCACAAGTGTTCACCAGATTTTTCATAATCGGCATTCTGTCCTCGAGAAAAGAATTTCTTGTGTAATATTTCCCATACTGGGATTATGTAGACTCTATATAATCATAATTGAAGTTCATAGTCTATGGGAACTTACTGAAACGAACATCTATAATTAATTTCAAAAAAAATTATCGTGTCGGTTACAATTCAAAATAAGTTGTGAATTTGTTTCTTAGAAACACGCACGCTAACTCTCGATTCCCGCCTACATTTTGGAACCATTTAATTCAATATGAATAGCAATTTGGCCATAAAATCTTTGTTTGATACAAAGAACAGTTCAATGGTAATTGATACATCGTCTAAATACCAGGGCTGAACAGTAAATTATCCATAATACCAGCTCTTGAAAAAAGGGGGGTAGACGATATTTTCCATTGAAATCTAAGTTTCAAGCATCACCGTATTTTGAAATAGTCTTGGATATGATTAAATGTTCCTTATATCTTTTCTTATGTTTTAGGCAAATAAATAAAACATAAATATTTCAATAAAATATAATGTTTCAGCTGTATATCGCTTTGATATTGGTGGAAAATAAGCATTTTTATCGTTTTTTTTCAATATACACATGTTCCCCTCCGTGTCACACAAAAAGCTTTGGTATGAATTTGTGAAATACCATTCCATATTACCTGTAAAAAGGAATTTTTGTGACACGGGGGGATGTTTTAAAAATATTTTCCGTTTTCCATTGATTTCTATAGTGAAAAACACAAGTTTTACCAAAATTTTAGAGTTATCTCTCTTTGTTTTCCCAAATAATTAATATTTTTATGAAAATTCATATAATTATCTATAAAAAATATCAAAAATTCATCGAATATGTTAACTTTTGAAAATTGACTTGGAGGTAGGCGGGAGAATACTACTATCGTTCGCAGTTCTTTTCCCTGTAAATAAAACCAATTAATTATAACAATATACGGACGACCCAGCTGTAGTGTCATCTATGTAAACACCCAATTAACACCTACATCCCAACCCAAGGTCTTCGCGGTTTCCAGGTAAGTCCAGACTTCATCAATTTTACGCTTGATTGGCGTGTATACTCGCACCAAAACTTTGAGAGATAGAGAGTAAAATTCAATGAAATATGTGTAACGGGACCAGGGTTTTGGTTAGAGAGATCGAAAACTTCGAGAGATGGGAGTTCGAGTCATCCAGAGTCACCTGTAATATGACAGTTTACTAAAGTATTTATTGTTCAATATTCTATCAAGAGATGAAAAGAATTGAAAAAAAAATATTTAAGTCAAGACTTAAATATTCTTAAAGATAATATCAACAATAACCATTAAAACCCTCCCTTCGAAGAAAGGAGGGCATTTTTGCTTTGCTGCGGTCTGTCTGAATGTCGGTCTGTCTGTCGATCTCTCGGTCCACTTAGTTTCCGTTCATTTTTTTTTCTTCACAACTTCACAACACATACGGAAATGAAATTTGGTATACAGATATATCACATGAAAATCTAGGTCAAGTTTTGTTTTTGATATGATTGATAATTTTTTTACAGAATAATGCCGTTTGGACTTAGAAATACCATTTATTTGCAGTTTCCGTTCATTTTCCTAGCAACTATGTACATGCTGAAATGAAATTTCGTATACAGATTAGTCGTTTAAATATATAGGCCACGTTTTTTTTTGGTAAAATCACACCATTAATGACATAGTTATGTCCCTTAGACTTAGAAAGATTCCAATTATTTGCAGTTTCCGTTCATCTTCTTCGCAACCCTTGTACAAACTGAAATGAAATATAGTTTACAGATTTATCATATGCAAATCTAAATTAAGCTTTGTTTTGGTTAAAATTGCGCTTTTTTGACAAAGTCATGCACCTAAGACTTAGAAAATTTTCAATTATTTGCAGTTTCCATTCATTTTCTTTATAACTGATGCACAAACTGAAATGAAATTAATTAATAAGCATACAGATTAATCATATACATATCTAATATTTATTTCTGTTTTGGGAAAAAAAATCGAATTATTGCAATTTCCTGTCATTTTCTTTGCAGACGTGCACATACTGAAATAAAATTTGGTATGCAGATTTATCAGATAAATATCTTGGTCAAGTTCTGTTTTGGTTAAGATCGCGACAATTTTTGACAAAATTTTGCACTTTTGAACCTGGAAATGTTCCAAATTATGGGGAGGGAGGTATAAGTGTTTTACAAATATCTCTTGTCTTTAAAGGCATTTCGGCAAAAACGCTTCAGAACAGGCAGTTCTGAAATCTCGAATGTCCACAGTGCAACTCAGTCTGCTTCGTCAGGTGTAGAAAGTGATTCCTGCATCGGTAAATTGGGTAACAATGAAATGCAGGAAGATAGTGACGACGAGGATTCATACACGGAGAAAACGGAGGACGATGAAAACCAGGAAGATAGTGATGACGATGATGCTGGTAATTTTATTATTGCTTACAATCAATTACACACAAACATATTTTTTAGAGATAATCCATTCATTCATAAAATCTTGAGATCAAATATAGTAATACAGCTGTAGTTGTAAATATTTTTTCTATAATTAATTGAATAGAAATATTCTACACCATAAACAGTAATATAATAAGTAAAGGTACCTGGTTACTTTAAATTTCTTGTCTAGATCGTAGTCTCCTGTACTGTATTCTGTTATCCAAGGATGGGAGTATTGATCTAAACAACGATGACTGGTATGAGAGACTTACAGACATCAGATCAACCTATAAAATGAAACACAGATCAAGAGAGGAAGACATTCTTGCCATTCAATCAATGATAGAAGGATCTGATCTTGTAACAGTGGATCGGAACATTGTAAAATGTTATGTGAATTCCATTGGTGATAAGGAAGATGACCGTTTTTATAATTGCCTGACATTCAGCAAAGATTATGACAAATTCTTGAAGGTGACCCCGACAGAAGTTTTGCGAGAATGTCTTCTGTTTGAGACAAACATACAGGAAAAAATAATGAGCAGTGTTGAAATTTCTGATATTGTCTTGAATTTCGGATTGGACTTTGTTCGCTTTTTTAACACCGGTCTGATATATAACGAAGAATATTACAAAGGTTTAGATATATGTAAGTATTTATTTTCTATTACAGCGCGTAACATTTATGTTTAAGGTATACTTATTACCTTTTTCATATATTTTTTCTTTTTTTTGAATTTTAACATAGGTAAACATAGGTAAACATAATTTTCTAGCTTTTCAAAAATATTAAATGTGATAAAACTATTTTAGTGGATCCTACGTAATGCAGTGGTTGAAATAGTAGAGGACATTGACATGTTCAGTGATTTTAAAGAATATGTAGATTTTTTAAAATTATAATTATATAACTTTTCCGAAATATTAATTGAAATAAAACTGTTTCTCAGTAAATCTTCCTTGTGCCGTGAATCACATGGTAAATCTGTTTCGTGATTTTGATGTGTTCAGCGAGTTCAAGGAATATGTGGAGGAGATAATGAAACGTGAACAGAAATCCTTAGAGTCATTGAATCTGAATAGTCTCCTTGGCTCATACCTTATTGGACGAGAGACGGGCGAAGAGAAAGGTAATGATTTTAGTTTACAGTAGTGTTGGCAAAGGACGATTTTTAGTAACCGGTTATTTGCTCAATCTTTCGATCTAGTACCCGATTACTCGGATGATTTATTTATATTCATATATATATCATTTATCTCATCCTTTACTTATGGGTACTGGTAATAATAAAACATAAATGTATTGTGAATGAACTTTATTCTTAAACTTTAAGATACAGACGCAAGCAATATCTTGAATTTTGATTGATTGATTGATTGATTGTATATTGTTTTACGTCCCTCTCGAGAATTTTTCACTCATATGGAGACGTCACCATATGCCGGTGAAGGGCATCAAATATTGACATTAACTTGGTACTCAGGACCATTGAGCAATGATAGATCTTTATCGTGCCAACGCCTGCCGCTGACACGAGGCCTCCATTTTTAAGGTCTCATCCGAACGACCTGCAACTTTCACTGCAAAGTGCCGAGCGCATGGCGAAGTAACAATTGCTACCAATTTTAATGACTAGGTCATTCGCGGCCGACGAACTCACGACCTCCCGATCACGAAGCGGGCGCTATACCGACTGAGATACCGTGAACGGTCTTTAATTTTGAACATAATTATGATAAAAAAAAACGAGGTGCTGTGAGCAATGAGCTCACTAAATAGTACCCCCTGCCTCCCATAATGTCCATAAGTTGCTAAATATTGTTTTACGGTAATGTGTAAAGAGGAATAACTCGTCTATCAAATGTTTCTCGAAGCTTCTATATGTAAATTCATAGGTAAACATATAATGGCAATGTCCATGTTTTTCTATGCAAAACTTTAAATACGTGTCGAAAAAAGTAAAATAGGAGGTGCACAATGGTAATATGTTATAAAGATTCTGTGAAAGTTTCATTAAATTTCACTCAGTAGTATAAGAGGAGTTGCGGAAAAGAGAAAAAGCGTAACAGACGGACGGACGGACGGACAGACAGACTGACGTACAGACGGACGCACGGACGGAAATCCCGATTACTTTTCAAGCGGGGGGTATAAATATTAATGAGAAAAAAATAAACATCCAATGCTATTTTACAATGGCATTCATCCGTTTTAGTTTTCTATCCCCGATATATGTCACCATCAAGGAGAATGATTATCTAAAAATTTGAAGTCACAACCGTACACGATAACTCCAAGTAGGATATGGAGATAACGAACAGCATTCAATCTCAAAGACCATTAAACAATATACAAAATCAGAGCAGAGCAAACGCGGATATCTGAAACATCAGAGCTGGGATCAGGTGCCATGGAGGAGTGAGCATCCCCTGCCAACCGGTCACACCCGCTCCTTGTCATGATTGGGAAAATTCGTCGTCAATTCAGTGTATTAGTAATTCAAACTAATATCAAATCAGCTGTTCTTTTAAATACGTCCAAGCTATACAGCTGTATATGTCTTTGGCGGAATCTTGTTAAATAACATAAAAGTACATGCCGCTAGAGAGGGGTCAAATGTTAGAACGCGGAAAACAGCAAAAATTACATTTTTTTCTTTTATATTTTGAAAACTAAAATTAGATTCTAACGACATGTTGAATAAAAGTTGTGCATAATTGCAAGAGCTTTCATTTGATATCAGTTAAAAGAGGCTGGTCCTTAAAAAAGATTTATGAGGATCATTCTTGAGGCTCATGCTTAGAAGAAATGTTGTTAACATAAGAAAGTGCAGTAACCAAGGTCGGTTCTTCCTGTCCACAGCTCCAACGGAAGACCTACTCGTTGCTTTGCAAAGAGCTCGACTCTATTTAATACCATTTTTCATTTTTTACTCCCTTCCATTAACTATCAAATATCTCTCCCCTTATCTTTTTTCAACATTTTTTTCACAATAAAGATGAAAATGCTTTACTCAGTTTATCAGAAATTATAATGCATGATTATATTACAACTCAGTGCTACCAAATTTGCAGATCACATTTGCAATTATATCTGTGAAAATGCACTAGTTTATGGACTTGTATGTTACATTACTATAAATGTGTTTGTTCAAATGTATTAATATTCGTATAAATCTTTTTTGCCTGAAATAAAATAATAAAAACTACACATTTAATTTTTTTATGTACCTTGGATGTCGATTTTTTTCAAAGTTTGAATAGGAAATTTTGCATCACGGTCTGACAAAATTGCAAGTAAAGCACAGAATGCTTGTTTATCGTAATAATTTTAAAAACTTTTTGATATTCAGAAAGAATTGGTTTTACAAACAATATTTCAGAAGTAACTTCTTAGATTTTGTAACAAAAATAGAGAAATTGTACTTCCAAGCATGTATTGAAATTGTATGTAATAAACTTGTCCATTTTGCAATGCGCTGAAATCCTAGACGTCAAGTCTCACCTTTAATATCTCGCCATTTTCCAATCGCCAAACAGGTGTCGAAGTGAAATATAAAAATAACGATCAGAAATCTATCTCAGTGAAAAATGAAAAGAATTCATCTACTTTGATACTAAATGAATGTGGCAGTACGTTTGTGTAAAAATGATCAATTGAAATCGTAAATAAAATAGAAGTTTCACGAAATAAAAGATATTTATCAATATACGAGGGTTGTTAGAAAAGTTCGCGGACACATTGAACTACGGAAAATCTATTGTGTACTGTGAAGTATGACCTATATCTGAATGAATTCCTATATCGTGTTTATTGGTATGTAACAAATCAGGTCCATATAATGAAATCTTGAAATTTTTTAATATCTTTACTATTGGGTCATGGGATTCACGAAGCAATCACTTGACGTAAGATGCGTCACTAACAGATTTCAACCCGTTAAGCTTTGTTGCAGTTCTATAAATCTCATTTCTTCAGATTTTTCTTATTTATTTTCTACTTTAAAATTGAATATTTTTTGTAATGATTCGGATATTATTGAGGTCTTATAAAATAAAAAAAAGTCTATGCAATTAATCGATCAGGTATGGAAACTATGCAAAACCATATAAGCGCAACGTTACGCCCATGCGGTAAGGGGGTATTGAAGTTTCGATGGTGTTAATCATTCCAAATGTTACTACTTCTATTCTTTTCAAGATACGACCATTTGAAAACTTGTTCTTTGTATTGTCGGGAATTCACGGCAGCATCTTGAACATTTAAATTTCTTTTTAGACATGTTCCTCTCTGAACACATAATTTTTACGTAGTGCAGTGCTCCATGACGCTCAATGACGTTTTGATTTTTGGCTGTTTTTACGTGGTGATCATTTATGAACGGCTATAAAACAGTCATATACCCTCCAATTTAGTTCAAAATTTCTCCCAGTGACATTTCCTGCATACTTTAGCGGCAGGTAAAATATCATAAATCTCTTTGCGGTACAATTGTGCAACTTTTAACTCTAATAAAGAGCCTTTGTGATGTAAACGTGCCAAAATGTAGCATGCTCCGTGAAGCAGGTTTTATCAAATTATAAAAGGGGGAAATATTTTTCAATTATATATGGAGAGCACCAAATTCTTGTATATTTATTGGAAAAAACGTTAAGATTTTAGTTGGAAAGTTTGACAGGTTTCGTGGAAATAGCGCGCTCACAATAGAACTTGTCCACGAACTTTTCTAACACCCCTCCTACAGTCATATATAATGATGAACCATTTTTATTTCAGCATTGGATAACCTTACACTTTCTTATACAAAATGGAATATTCTAGTTTCTATTCTGATGTCAGAGACTTACAGTTTATCCTTTAAATCACCATGGGAAGAAATATTAACAAACCTTCGAAGTGCTTTCCCTTTATTAAATTGCGAATCAAGAAATGTAGAAAGCGATATCGCTGAATTGACTGATATTCATAAAGTGCTGCAGAAGGAGAGAAACTCAGTCAGTTTCATATCAGATGATGTCCGCCATCAGGTGATGAGTTACTTCGTGAAGAATTGTCTGATAACTGACGAGGACTACGGGAATTATATCAAGCTGTCATCAGCGGACTCGTTGTTGGATTATGCACGACCGTGGTGGTATGTGGATGATGTAATTAACATATGCCACCAAAAAGTTTTGTTTCTGCCGAGGAGTTTAGACGATTTATTTATCCAAAGACTTGGCTTAGACGCCCTACGTCATGTCATGGTGGAGTGTAATGAGTTGTGTGAAGATACAATTGAAACAGCCAGAGAGGCAATTCAAAGAATTTGTGAGTAAATGTGTTATATTGTAGTATTAAACAAAATTAAATAAACTTCAGTTTAACAGATTTTAGATAAATCTTTTGAACATTTACAAGATAAATCTTAGATTTATACTCGAGTACATTGTAGAAAAAAGTTTATTTTTTACTTTTAAATTTATTTCAAATGATTATATAATGTTTTGCATTGATTCATGTCTTATTCCGAAACTGTTATCCTTTATACTGCAAAGTCTTAAGATAAAATTTTATAGAAAGCTCATGATTTTCTTCCTTTCAAGTAAAAATCTCTCTTATTCTTAGGAGTTAAATTTGTCTTTATTTATTAGAGCAGACGCCTTCTAGAAAGAAGCAGATATCAATTAAAAAATGTAACAGTTAATATTACTTACTTATTTAGGCCTATCGTTCCCTGAGGAAAATAGGCCATCAACAACAGTCCTCCAACGAAATCGATTCTGGGCTGTCTAACTGCATCAATCCAGGTCATATTCTGTATCTTTAACTCCGACTCTGAGTCACGCCTCCAGGAGTTTATTGGACATCCTCCTTTCTTTTTCCTTGTGGGTTTCAAGTCAGGGCCTGGCGTGTGATGCTTGATGGTGGCTTCCTTAATGTGTGTCCAACTTCCTCTGTCTTATTTGTATGTCCATTGGTTCCTGTCCTGCTCTTTTCCATAGTTCTTTATTGGAGATCCTTTCAGGCCAATGGATGTTGAGGATGCGCCTGACGCAGGTGTTTTAAAATGTCTGGAACATCTGCAGGGGAGCTTTAGTCATCCTCCGTCTCTCGGCACCATACAATAGAACGGACTTTACATTTGAGTTGAGGAACCGCAGTTTAGTGGTAATACAGATGCTCTTTGAGGCCCAGATGTTCTTTAACATAGTAAATGCAGTTCTTGCCTTACCAATTCTTAACTTGATGTCGCGGTCTGTGTCACCCTGTCTATCAACCACACTCCCCAGGTAGATGAAGGACTCAACTTCTTTGATGAACGCACAACCAACTGTAACTGGTGCTTGGACAGTGGTGTTTATCTTCATCAATTCTGTTTTCTTCAGGTTGATTTTGAGGCCTGTACCTGCGGATGTTGTTGCAAGGCGAGTTGTTTTATCCTGCATCTGGCTTTGGTTGTGTGAAAGGAGAGCCAGGTCATCTGCAAAATCAAGATCGTCGAGTTGCGTCAGGAGTGACCACTGTATACCATTATTCCTGTCTGATGTGGTAGTCCTCATGATCCAATCAATGACCAAGAGAAAAAGAAATGGTGACAGCAAGCATCCTTGTTGAACTCCTGTCTTGACCTCGAAACTTTCAGACATCTGGCCAGCATGGGCAACCCTGCATATCATGCCTTGGTAGGTGTTTCGAATCAGGGAATCTAGTTTCTCTGGAACTCAATAGTGCCTCGGTATCTTCCACAATGTCTCTCGGACCACGCTGTCGAATGCTTTCTTACAGTCGATGAAGTTGACATAGAGGGGGGACTCCAGTGATTGTTCTATAATGATGCGCAGACTGGCTATCTGGTCAGCACATGATCTGTTGGCTTTAAAACCAACCTGTTGGTCATGGAGCTTCGGGTCCACTGCTTCTTTCATTCTCTCGAGAAGTATTCTGTTGAGGACCTTGTCAGGTACTGATAGTAACATGATCCCCCTGTAATTACTGCAATTTCCAGATCACCTTTCTTTGGCAGCTTAATAAGGATACCTTCTTTCCACTCTTCCGGGATGTCCTCTTCTTCCCATATCTTGTTGAAGAGATTGTATAAGATGTTAATGGTTGTCTCTGTATTAGCTTTGATGGCTTCTGCTGGTATCTCATCAGGCCCTGCTGCTTTTCTATTTTTTAGTTTATTAATTGCTCACCTGATCTCTGTCTTTGTTGGTTTATTGCAGTTGATCGTGAGGTCTATATTGGCTGGTTGTATGTCTGGATGTGTTTCTGGTGCTGGTCTATTTAATAACTCTCTGAAGTGTTCTACCCACCTTTTCAATTGTTCATCTGTTGCTGTGAGGGTTTTCCCGTTCTTGTCCTTCACTGGCTTGTCTGTTTGCTGGAACCTGTTTGAGAGCTTCTTTGTGATCATATACAGTTCTTACAAATTTCCTTGCCCCGCAGCTTCTTCAGCTTGTATGGCCAGGTTATTGATGTAATCCTTTTTATCTTTCCTTATGCTTTTATTAACTTCTTTATCTGTGGCTTAGTAGTCCTCTTGAGCTTTTGTTTTTGCTGATCTTGTCCTGCTTGTATTCAGCACCGCTTTGTTTTCCTTCCTCTCCTCCACTTTCCTCATGGTATCACCAGAGATCCACTCCTTATGCTGATTCTTTCTTCTGCCTGGGTCTTCCTCGCATGTGCCTTGCCACATTTCCTTTATGTACTGCCATTGGGTCTCGATGTTGGTACCATTGTTTCTAGCTGGTACTGTAGTAGCTGGAATCTATTTGACAAGCTGAGAAGGAATGCTGCGCTGTCTTCACTTCCTTTGTTTTGAGGGCACTCACGTTGTACCTTGTCCTCCTGTTTGTCGTGTTGTTGAACTTCTTGAGTCGCAGCCTTAATGCCGTCATCAGAAGATGGTGGTCTAATGAAATGTCTGCTCCTCTCATTTGTAAATGTTGCATGCAGTTAGGTAGAATGTGCTGATAGTTTGAAAGAATTTAAGAAGTGTTGAGGGGAAAAGGTCACAAGTCAATATATTACACCAGGCCCCAGGATCATGAAACAAACTAAGACTGAAGACAAATTATTGCCCATACAATATTCATATTTATTATCAAAATATATCAAAATATTTATCAAAAATATTTATTATATAAAAAGATCAAATTATTTTCTCATGGGTTAGCCTAATTGGCGATATCTGATTGGTCAGAAGGATTAGCATCTTGTTTATTCTCTGTATTTATAGCAATTCATAATTATCGTTTTTGACTTACATTGTTTGTAATTGTCCAGAACTGTTCAAGATAACTTGATTGGCAACGGATGTTTATCTTTTTAGCTCACCTGAGGCGAAGGCTCAAGTGAGCTTTTCTGATCAAAATTTGTTCGTGTCTGTCGTCGTTGTTGTCGTTGTCGTTTTCGTCGAAAACTTTTCACATCATCTTCTTCCACTACAGATTTAAATATCCCCTTAGATTCCAAAAAATCCCCTGTTGTCCCCCTGTCAGTCCCTGACATTTTCCTGTCTCTCCTTGACATTCGCCTATGATCCCCTGTCGTTGTCCCTGCTCTCCCTGTCCAGTCCCTGTCGTCACCTGTCGTTGTTCCTGCCTTCCCTGTCTACTCCCTGTCGTCCCCTGACATTTATTTTGGCCAAGAAAAGAAGCTTAAAAAATATTTTTGTTGCATTTAAGAGTGAAAAATGATATAGTCTTAAAAATTTTAAGTATTTTGTTGAAAATATAGACTTAGTAAAAAGCTAGCATATTTTTAAATGCCTTTACTAAATCCCTTGTAATTTAGTTTCTATTACTTGTATCAATGTGATTTTTTTTTAGTTCTGTAGCATTTCGTGGGGAGAAGGGCAGAGAATTGTATTGATTCTAAAGAAGAAATAAATGTCCAATTTATTTCATCTTGTAATGCTAGACGGCATATACATTGTACTTTATGAACCTTTTATATATATTTATAAACTTTTTCATTTTTTATTTGATCTACTTTGAAAAACAACTTTGAGCGTAAAAACTGTCTTTGTAAAAGTACTAGATCTAAACATTTGGGAATACATGATCAAATCCATGCATGGGATATTTTGTTTTCCCAAAGAATTAAATGAATAAAAAATCAATTGAAAGGAATGATATATAAATGCATTAAAAAATAAATGTCTAATAAATAAATAAAAATAATTAAATAAACTATGAATCTATTTGATTTATTTTCTTATGTGAATAAATCAACAAATCGACTGAATTAAGAATGAATGAATGAATATATTAATAAATAAATAAAAAGAATTATATAATTTTTTTCATTTATTGGTTTATTTTTTAATTTATCATTCATTTTTATCCCCAAAATTTGTTTTATAAGTTTTATTTTATTTATTTGCTGAAATATGCTACAAAGTATTTTAGTAGCATATTAAAACGACTTTTTATTACTTTAAGTCCATGATGGATATCAAAATAATCGTCTCATTATGCACAATATTAATCTGTCAATTACATTTTTGATACATTGATTTGATTTAAAATCGGTTTTCAAAACCCTAACAAGGTTCTGAAACAACATCAAAGCCATTGATGTTTACCAGTAATTAACTCGGGGTTCACGGTCATGACACCTATTATCTTTTTCACTGACCGCTATACCTGGTTTATGTTGTGGAAGGACTACCGTGTGTAGTTTGCAGCTGTTTGAAATAACATTTTCTCTTTGTATTAGAACTGATTTTTTTCAATCAAAACAAAATAAAAGAATCAAAGAAACTATTGACGGGTAAAGATTGTGCATAATGAGACGATTATTTTGATATCCATCATGAAAAAAAAAAAATAATTATTAGTAGTTTAAATATGCTTTAAAAATACTTTGATACATATTTATCGTATATCAGTTTATATAGAATAGGCCAAACAAATCCCATTTTCGGGTATATGATAATTTAGTTTGCTTGTATCGTCAATTTTAAAAATAAAAACATTGTTTTTATAATGATTAAATACATGCAGTTAATTAGTTTATTTATTTTTTTTATTTACTAACTATTTAAAATCAATTATTGTGTTGATTTTAAAACTAAAATATTCCAAAATGAGCCAATACCTCCGCTCTCTTTTCTTTAATTCTTTTATTTGTAAATGAAGAAAACATGAATAAAATAAACCTAAAGAAACACAGTTTCTTGGGGATATAAATGATTGACTAATTTGTTGTATTTTCAATTTCAAAAATAAATAAATAAATTGATTATTTTATTTATCTATATTAATTTCATTATTTTTTATTATTATTTTATTTATTTACTATGTATTTTTTCGCTGTAATCTGTTTT